TTAAGAATTCGTTATGGGAGTGAAGTGACGCGGTCCACGGGCCAGCAGGTGTGGAGGCCCGCGTGGGGTCTGAGTGGGTCATGCCCAGCCCTGCCTCGGTCTTTGACAGCAACGTACAGTTCCAAAATAAAACTGGCTGAGAGTCATTTAAGCCTCAGGATTCCCTTTCGTTCTCAGAACGAGCCTCAAAATAGATGATTTTATTTGTGCGTCCTAATTTAATTTTAGAGTATCTTCCCTATTGGCATCCACTACTATAAATACAAACCTTTTGTGAGGCAATACTGAAATTTCAAGACAGGAATGTAACTGGAGGCATCCTTCTGGTTTCCTTCCATCTTTCACATGCCTTTTCATGTGAATCAGTTCTCCGGTACCAGAAGTTTTCCGCGCCTCACATAAACTGTTCCTGTTACAAAATAGATTTGATCTTTTTAATGAGCAGGATGACATTAAAAACGTGGTTTTGTATGAGCTGCTTCTATTGCAGTCTATTTTCACCGTGCAGGCAGTCAAACATTGATGGGTTGCTCAGAGAGGTTGTGCAATCTCCATCCTTGTTGGTTTTCAAGATTCACTCAGCACAGCCCGGAGTAACCTGGTCTGACCTCAGGGCTGACCCAGCTTTAAGCAGGAGGTTTGACTAGAGCCCTCCTGTGGTCCCTTCTCACCTGGGTTATCCTAGAAGCTCTCCAACTTCCCATGGGCATCAGTGGGAGGGGGAACGGCTCCTCCTCCCCAGTCTGGGGCAGATGAGCCATTCCTTTTTTGCCCTAACTTCTGTTCTCTTTAGCCTCTAACTATAAACTTTCTCAGCAAATACTGTTACAGAGGGAAGAGGCAAGGTCTGTCTCATCAGCAGATTCCCAGGCTCAGCGACCTGACTAGGTCTCGACAGGGTTTTTTTCCCAGCTGGCTGAATTTCAAGACCTGGGCTGTATCTTGTGTAACAGGAAAGATATTGTTCTTTAAAACACCCCCCCACAGGCAAACAAACATGTGCGCGCGCGCGCACACACAGTCTTAGTCTTAATATTGTTTAAAACTGCGCTGTTCAAATGACATTGTGTCAAGGCAAAAAATACAAATCAGATTGATTTAAGAACACTTTTTATCCAGTCAAGATCTGCTTTTCTCAAAGCCAAGATCTACTGCTGAAACCATAACAGAGCCACTGTCTCCTCAGTGGTCTTTTATACACCCTCGACACATAAAATATCCCAAGGAGGCCGTTTTCCTCTGTCTTTAGTACAAAAGCAGCACTCGGCTGCATTGGGGTCCCTGTCTCCTTTTAGTCTAATTCATAAGTCTGGATCCTAATGAAAAATACAGACTCAACACAGCAATTGAGCACATGCTTAACTTTGAGCACGCTGAGCATCCCGTTACAAAACACTCCGTGATTTCGGCAGGACTGTGCTCCAAACCGTTTGTGGATTTCATCGGCATCAGCAAAATAAACGGCTTGTTCTACATCGCTTTTTTTTGTGACTCAAGTGTGCCCAAGAAAGAGGAACAGGAGAAGCCGTCCACTTCCCCTTGCCCAGTTTATTTTTACCACTGGTTGCTGTGGGAAGCTATTGTGATTCAGTGTTGCAGTAGGAAGTTACTAACGCTGCTCTTGCAGCAGAGGATGTTGAGGTTCTTATGCAAGCCACAGTGAAAATAGCTGACCTTTCAGAATGTTTATCAAAGC